GCACGGAGTAGTTGTGCATCACCTCCCTACCCACGGATTGGACCTCGAGAAGGATAAAGCAGGTGCTATCAAGAAACTCACAAACGAGAACGATCTCGCTGCTCGCGACTTCCGAATCGAAGATATCGCGTGGCTCAAGAAACGGGACAAGAACCTGGGGACGTTCGCCTCCATAGGCATTTGGTTTGATTCGGCAGAGGCCGCGGAATGGATGGTTGACAATGGACTGCTGATTGACCGGCGGTACATTGGGCGCATAGAGAGATACAAGGCTAAAGAAGGACGATGCTTCCGATGCCAACGGTTTGGCCACCAGGCGTGGTCCTGCAAAGAAAAAGCAGCGCGGTGCGGACACTGCGGTGGCCCTCACGAACGATCAAGATGCCCACCCGGAGTCAGAGCACGGTGCTTAGAATGTAGTGGTGAACACCCAACCGGGGATTCCCTGTGCCCAACGCCAACCGGCCCTCTCGCCCCGCAATGTTAGGGAAACCTCTCCGAATCCTACAATTGAACATCATGAAATCGAGAGCGGGCATGGAGGCCCTCATAAACGACCACCAGAGCGAAAATCTAGACATCCTCCTAATTCAGGAACCACCAATCACTGCATATCGAACACATGTGAACCACAGCGCATGGCGACTATACAAACCAACAATCGAAGACGGCTCAGCTCGACTGCGAAGCCTCATCTATGTGAACCGTAGGCTCTCAACGGCCTCTCACCAACAAGTGCAATGCGACCACCCAGACCTAACAGCAATTAAGATCTGGACGGCCGAACTCCAGATCCTGGTCTTTTCGGTCTATATCCCACCCGTACCGATGCACAATCCCGACGGAACATCGGCAGAGACGACTCTATCCGCGATCCACCACACGATTCAGGAAAATACTCAAAACAACAGAAGGCCCACCTGTCTTATCCTATCTGGAGATTTCAACCGCCATCATCCGGCATGGGGGAACAACAACATCCAACCCCGCTTCGTTGAGGAAGCCGGCGAACTGATCAATTTCTTCCACGAACATGGTCTGCAGGGATGTCTCCCTCGAGGAGTCTCAACCTACTGGTCGCTGAGCCACCCGGGAAGAAGGTCCACGATTGACCAGACAGTGACGGATAAATCTGAGTTACTGCTCAAGTGTCATCTTTACCACGATAACTACGGCTCGGACCACCGGGCCACATACTCAGAGTGGAGCCTCCAGATACATCGCAACAACAATAAACCTCCAAGAAAGGCCTACGACCGCGCAGACTGGGGGAAAATTGGGAACGAGGTCATAAGTCTCATGGGGAAACAGACCGAGATGCACTCAACCCACGCACTCGATATGGCCGTGGAAAACCTCACTAAGACCACTGCGATCGCTGTCGACAGACACACGCCCGATCAGCGACCCTCCCCTTACGCTAAACGATGGTTCACGGCCGATCTCAAGGAGCAACAGAACAAAGTAAACCGCTTGCGACGCAGATGGCAGGCGAGATGTGCGGAAGCAGGACGAAACGATCCCCACAGCATGGCACTTTTCCAGGACATGCGCCAGTCGCGGCGGGCGTGGACCCGGACGATCGAAGAAGCAAAAGCATCACACTGGAAACAATTCCTTGATGAGGCCGGCGAAGGGAAGTTATGGAAGGCCGCGTCGTACATGAAACCACGGGAGGCGTGGGGTTGCGTCCCAACGCTCCGGGTCGGCGACAGGGAGGTGGCTGATAATCCAGAAAAGGCGCAAGCTTTCATGGACGCATTCTTCCCGTCGATGGCGCCCGCCGAAGACGAACAGCTGCCTGAACCCCCAGCCGAAATCCCATGGCAACCGATCTCAGAGATCGAGATCTACCGATCGCTCAGTACTGCAAAACCATCAACAGCGCCAGGTGAAGACGGTCTTCCCATGTTAGTCTGGAAACGTCTCTGGGATTACCTCGGGAGCATCATTACCAAGATTTTCACGGTGTCGATCGAACTAGGATATCACCCCCAGGGGTGGAGATGCGCCCAGATCGTAGTTCTGCGGAAACCAGGAAAGCCAGACTACTCGCAACCAGGAGCCTACCGCCCCATCTCGCTCCTCAACACGCTTGGAAAGTTATTGGAAGCAGTGGTCGCCCGACGGTTGTCCTTCTACGCGGAGCAGTACGGGCTACTACCGGACACTCAGTTTGGAGGCCGACCAGGACGCACCACCGAGCAAGCCCTTCTAGTACTTGCCAACGCAATCGACAAAGCGTGGTACAAACAAAAAGTGGTGACGCTAGTCGCCTTCGACCTAAAAGGGGCGTTCAACGGAGTCAACCAGACAAGCCTGGACGCTCGTCTCCAATCCAAGGGCATCCCTTTGGTTGCCCGACGATGGATCGCGAGCTTTATGAGCGGACGCCAAGCCAGTATCCGGTTCGATGACTACCAGACCGAGGTAGCACCGCTAGACAATGCCGGGCTGGCGCAGGGCTCTCCACTCTCGCCCATTCTGTTCACGCTCTTCAATAATGATCTGGTGGACCAGCCCGTAGATTCCAAAGGCGGAGCTTCGGCCTTCATCGACGACTATTTTCGCTGGCGAGTTGGCTGGAGTGCAGAGGAGAACCTAGCCAGAATCCAGTTTGAAGACATACCACGCATCGAAGCATGGGCCCGGAGGACCGGATCCTGCTTCGCGGCCGAGAAAACTGAACTTATCCACATCACTCGCAAGAGAAAGGAACAATGCCAAGGGGAACTGATCATGAATGGCAAAGCAGTCAAACCATCCACAACGGCCAAACTACTGGGAATTATCTTCGACCATGAGCTACGATGGAAACCACACGTACAGCAGGCGGTCAAACGAGCTACAAAGGTCAACCTCGCTCTTGGTGGACTACGGCATTTACGCCCAGAGCAGATGCGTCAGCTCTACGAAGCGTGTGTCGCACCGGTCATTGACTATGCGTCTACCGTCTGGCATGACCCACTCCGAGATAAGACGCATCTTCGGCACTTACGCACCGTACAGCGGACTGCGCTCATCCGCGTTCTATCGGCATTTCGAACGGTGGCCACAGCTGCGCTGGATGTAGAAGCACACGTCCGGCCAATCCATCTTCGACTACGCTTCCGTGCACAGAATACCATTACAAGACTCCACACCCTGCCCCAAAAACATCCTATCTGGAGCACCCTTCTTCGGGCCCAGAGAAGGCGGGACAATATTGGATCATACGCCAGGTTCCCTCTAGCAGAGGCGTTGAAAACAATGAACTTGGAGAGACTGAGAGAAATCGAGATGATTGACCCGACCCCGCTCCCTCCATGGAGACCGGAGGGGTTCGCCAGAATCGAAATAGAACCTGATCGAGAGGTCGCAATAGAGAAAGCGGAAACGGTACGATCCATCTCGGACGTGATGATCTACTCAGACGCCTCGGGGCGACAAGGTCATCTGGGAGCTGCAGCCGTCGCGATCGACGAGAGGCAGCAGACAACTGACAGGATACAAATACAGGTGGGCAGTATGGACCGCTGGTCGGTCCATGCGGCAGAGCTCATTGGGATTCTATACGCTATCAATATCATCAATCAAGTCGCGGTTCGACGTTGGACAGCATCGCACGCGCGGGTGAGATCCGCCACGATCTTCAGCGACAGTATGTCGGCACTGCAAGCTATTCGAAGACCGGGGAACAAGTCGGGACAGCAGATCATCCACGCCATCCTACGAGCAGCCGAAACCACCAAGAACCATGGTACAATGATTCGACTACAATGGATCCCCGGTCACTGCGAAATACCGGGGAACGAGATCGCCGATCAGCTTGCTAAAGAAGCCGCCATCCCGGGCAAGACACACCCGTTCAGTCCCTTGATATCACGCGAGAGAGCACATATCAGGCAAGTTATTCAGGACCAATGGGCAGAGGAATGGAAAGGGTCGAAGACTGGCAGCCACCTGCGCCGGATTGACAACACCTTGCCAGCCAAGTACACACGTGGCCTCTACGGTTCCCTCCCGAGGAACCGGGCTTATCTACTCACCCAATTGCGAACTGGCCACTGCTGGCTATCAACATATGCAAAGACGTTTCGCTTCCGCGACAATGACCTATGTGTCTGTGGCGAACGCGAGAGTGTAAGCCATGTTCTGCTAGACTGTCCAGAGCTGAGAGCACTTCGGCGAGAGCTCCGAGAAAAGGTCGGCGAGGCGTTCAACAGCATTTCAACCCTACTAGGAGGGTCTGGAGGAGAGGAGAGAGGTAAGGTTAGCCATGCTTCGAAGGCGAAGACGGTGGAAGCCGTCTTGGACTTCGCTGAAGCATCACAACGGTTTCAAAGCCGAGCACCATGAAGACAACATGAGAACGAAGGGCTAGGGAGCCACGAAAGGCTTCGGCGAGGCATTAAGGTCGCTTAGGAAATTAGACACGGCAATTACGAAGAGACACATGTATATAGTTGTTGAATCCTGCATATCGTTCGCGAGGGGTCGGGGTAAATGAAATCATCCATCCATCCATCCATCCATCCGTGTGTATCGCTACGGAGAAGAACTGTGCTATCTGTATTGCTTTTTGATTTCGCTATTTTTTTCTTAAACACCCGCAAAGTACCTGCTTCGCTCAGTTTCATTCCTGAGCGAGTGACGAGGTTTCAAATTTTATTTATTGTCCGGATATGATGTTCTAGTGCGGTCAAACCATTGTCGGATGAAATATCCCACGATCCGGGAACTGTTTTCGGGGCTACTATGGACGCGAAGACGTGTTCGTATCCCGCGAGATAATCATACGGGGATCTCGGCTCCAGTTTGGAGTATTGACTAATGATGACTGGTGCTCAATCGAAACATTGAGTCCAATAGTTGAGACAAGATCTATTGCAAAGTGCTAACCGATAGTCGTGGCATTCCGAGCGTACTGGCCACCCATACCGCCTTCAGCGGTATGGTTGGCCCACGTCCACATAGAATTAACGTCCAAATCGAATTTTATTGCAATTCTACCTATAATATCAACGCAACGGCGTAGTATCTATACTAAATAGGGCACTATCTGGTAAATTTGCCAATTCTGCATCATTTGACGGCAAAATTAATGGTTTTGGAGATGGTGGTGGCGATCGGCCGTACTGCTTTTTGTATGCGTTGCGGAGCTTCGTTTTAGCAGTTCTCTCGCGTTTTAACGCGCTCGTAGCAATACTGCGATTGGCATCTTTAATACTGAGTATCCCATTCTGCGATAGTGGCTTAATCTGACGCTTACTTTTTCGACGTTGTAATGGCGTGCGTATAGCTGCCATTTTGGCAACAGTATCAGAAGCAATTGTAGCGCGTTCGGCGTCAATCTCAGCATATTGAAATATTCGATCAATATTGCGCTGGTGTTTTGGTTGAATCCCTGGGATATTTGCGCATTTGGCGTAATTTTTCAAGCGTTTTTCCATGCTTTTAGGAGGCGTAGCTTCAACACTAGAGGATGAGGGAAACTCTGGTGGTGGTGTTTTTTCCCCATGTATAGCATAATCAGGTATAACCAGATCATCAAATATAGGCATCTCCTTCTCTAGAGCCTTAACAATTGCAGTACCATCGGTCGGATATATCCCACGTTCCTTGAAGCCATCACGAAGGATACGCCGACTTCCCCAGGCATCTCGCCGAACATTCGTAATAACACGTAAGAATTCAGATTTGCCTGCAGGCTCACGTCCCCAGAAGGATAACTCATTATTTTCCTTCTTGAAATGTTGCTTCAGTGCAAGAAAAGGCTTCCCATCAAGCGGTTGACAGATATGAGTCGAATGAGCTAAGAAACAAAAGGGTATGATATCCCAATTGAGGCATCGTGTGATAAATTCCTCAGTTTTATGTGACCCATGACCATCAAACAATAATAACCTCTTCTCACCTGGGCGGACTCGATCAATTGTATGCTTCTGAAAATGATTTAACCATTCAAGAGCAAGATCATCATTAATCCATCCATTTTTAGAGACACTGGTTATCGTACCCTCAGGTAATTGTTCAGATGCATGAAACCAATCTTCCTGGAAAGTTGATCCTTTGAAAATATAGAGTGGAGGAATTGAAGAGCCATCTGCAGCAATACATTCAAGTGCTGTAATATTTTCTGAATGCTCTGCCTCGGGCAGATCTGAACGGTATTCTGTACCACTTATGACATTCTGAGGCTTTCCCTTACCAGGTTGAAAGCCACATTCATCAAAGTTGAATACTAAGTGCGGCGGAAGGGTTTTGGTAACCCTTGCGAGATTGTTATACCACAGTTCAAGAGCTCCAGCTTCTTCAGCACCAATACGCTTGACATCCTTAACTTTTTGTCGTACTGGGGCAAGTTTTTTATGTGGTGGTAACCGTTCTATAAAACGATATGCCCACATATGTGAAACTGGTGATCGAGGTTTTTTAGCACACGTAATCAAGCGATTAGCGTATGCTTCCACCATTGCAGGCGTCAATGGCATATAATGACGCTGCATATAGTCAGCCCAGTCCTGCAATGCACGATCCTGAGCCTTCGTCAACGCCATATTGGTAGGATTGCGGCCACAAAGTGACGTTCTTCCGTATTTGATGCGCCCGTGGAGCACCCCATAAGGCACGTCAAATTCGCGTGCAATACGCTTGATATTGGGTTTTTTGACAGCACGAGCAGCAGCGCAAGCTTTAATTACGCGAGATTCGCGAATTTCATCAAATTTAGGCATAGTGGTGGATGGTAAGCGTGCAAAATAGGTGGAATTGCAAAAAAAATTCGATATGGACGTTAATTCTATGTGGACGTGGGCCACCATCACCGCGAAGGCGGTGATGGTGGCCAGTACGCTCGGAACGCCACGACTACTACTCTAGACAAAGCGCCTCTCCGTTGTCGAAGAAAATATGGGTAATCTGTCATGGTATTATGTGGCCCTTATTAGTACCAGGGCTTCTTAAGACTAAGAGCATCTCAAAGACGTTCATCTCAGAACGAGAACTCTCTTAAAACAGGTCTCTCATTCAAGTCCTTCTCCCAGGTACGAATCATTCATATGAAGACTCATAAGTTCCACACCCACAACTGCCAGGGTTGCTTCATCTTGTCACTGACACAGCTACAACTCGAGAAGCCATTGCAATCAGCTGCTTCTCCTTGCCAAGTATTCCGTCGGCTGCAAGCTAGTTCTCTTCGTGCGCGAAAATCAAGAAATGGCACTGGGCTGCACGGTAACAGTGGCCTGTACGGAGGCTGAGTAGGTTCACATTATAGAGTGCATAGCAATTGCATGAGTACTTTCGTGCGACCCGCTCTACGGGTGAGGTATCCGATCGGTTTATGAGACAGTCTGATTGATTCCACTGGCCTCGTTGAGATTGATGTCTTGGTATGATTCGCCTAAGATGAAGGCCACGGGGGTCTCCTTGATCTCGCCGGATGCGCATATCTGACAGTACTTCTCTGAGGGGTAAATTTCGCCGCACACGGACGGGCATTGGTGACCGCATGTCAAAACATTTTTGCAGCGTAAAGAGCATGGGATGTGATCGCAGGGCGCCGCACAAGGCATCGAGCAAGTACTATGAGGACATGATGATAAACATTGTGAGACAGCGCAAGGTGCACATCGCTCAGAGCATTGCTGTGGGCATTTAGAGTGGCCACACTCTACACCACAAGGTGATGCACATGCAGGGCATGCGTCTTGTCCATGGCATTCGAAGCTACAGGCATGAGAACAGGTGGAGAATGGTCTTCCGCACTTTTGTGTACAGGCTCCATGTTCAATTTCCTGACCTTTGGGTACTCTCATGGCACAGCAGGAGCGCCTGCAGTTATGTCCACATGCCAACACGACCTAGCAAGTTTCTTCGCATATATACGCGTCACTATTAACATCTGTATGGCAGGCGACAATAACAGTATGATTACAGCGCGGAACCTGCTTTTTTTACAAGTATGGGGCACTGGACGAGATCGGGATTTTGAGCTTGCCAACATGGAAGAGTGGCCATCGAGTGTCCGCATGGAAGAATTCGTTTTGTATCATGAACGGGGATATTACACCTTTTTGGGCAAGGGTCACCACAGTGTTTTGGGCAAGAATGTGTGCAGCCATTTAGTGGTCGAGGACAAGTTTCCGAGCAATAGACAACCTTGTAAAGTACCTCCGAATGACCATTTTGCCTGCAGGGATGACCGCATTGAAGGCGCCTGTCGCATTGGAGACTGCATCCCCCTTCAGGTGAGAGTTGCAGGAAGTGCTCTGGCTCTATGATGGAAATTGAAGTCTCGGGATGGCGAGGACAATTCAGTTCCAATTGGAAACCCAAAAGCCCATCTTGTTCCAAGATACCGAGGACCTTCCCCCCCATGTCAACGAATGTGGGAGAGCGACCTTCGATCGGGAAACGCCGAAAGGCCTTGACGAAGTTGACTGACCTACTCTGATATTGCCCGGTCGCTGTTCATGGTGCTACTCATTGGAAAATATATTGAAAGCTCCATTTACTTATATGGGCTTGTGCAGGCGGCTTAATATCGCTGGAGCTGCTCTCGAAGCTGACTGGCCTTGTTAAATTGTCTAGAAAGATTTGCTCAACAGACTTGGCTTCAGTCTCTGGCACTTCGGCTTTGTGCTTTGGTGCAATAATTTCCGTAAAGTCATTGCCAACACAGTCGCATTCCAAATTTTGAAATGACATTGCTTTTGTATCGGGTTCAACTGCATATGGCGGAACGTAGATGTTGGACGGAGTCGCCTTGCAGGATAGAACAGTGATGGGTGTTTCGATGATTAGGAGCTGGAAAGCGTTCTGCTTTTTAGCTGCTGTCCCATCCCTATCTTCATTGGAAAGACAGAGGACGATCTGTACGAGAGTTAGCCATATTGTATAGATTGCTCAGTCTCCAAGGCAAAGGGTAGTGAGCAGGTTTCGGGGATCCTTACCTGGATCCAGTGGTTCACATCAGGTTTACCTGCTTTGGTGCTTGTATGAAGTCGTTGCCACTGCGGTATTTCTTTCAATTCAGGGCATCTGGGCAATTGTACCTGTAATTCAATTTCATGTGTTTCCAGTACTTCCCCGAGCAGATTCCAAGTTTGCGTATCTGTCGGTCGTATTTTGTCCCGGTCTGAAGTGATCCGGATTTTGCTGCCAGGATAGGTGCTTCTATATTCATTCCCCGCCTGCTTTTCAAACAGAAGCACTTTTCTTTTACCCAGCTGTAATACGCGAGTTTCCCGTCCCGTTTTCCAGTACTGCATGTGCTGAGACACATATACTTTCAGCCAGCAACATTTTAGGTCGATGAAAGGAGTCAGTTTCAACCTTATTGGTATCCGGGAGCCTAAAGGGAAGCTTCTGCCGAGGAAACAAATATCATAGTGAAGCTGCTCACGCCAGTCCTTAGAGATAATAATTGACTCAGTTAGTTCCAGTGAGTTTTCTGAAGGCAATCGAAGGAGCGGGATATCCAGTTGTGAACGCATTTGTGAACGGGAAATTCCAGGGAATTCGATTTTAGCTTCGAGGTAGTAACGAACAGATACAAGCCCAGTGCTGATAGTTTCAGGAAGTGAGTCGTGCACGAGAAACTCGAAAGGGTAGATATAACCGCCAGCAGGAAACATCGTATAATGGCCTTTCGGGCGACTGTTGTTGGTATGTTGGGGGCTTTCGCTACAAGGGCGCGGAAGCCCAGACCGATCTAAGCTGCCTGAATAATACTCGGGAGGTAAAAGTTGCTCAACCTGCAATGCTAGAGCGTTGATTTTGACAATCTGACCAATCTCTGCAGCCGATATAGACAAGTTGCGATAGCCGCTGTCTTGTAATGTCGCATGCCCGTTCTCAAAGTAGGTAATACCACATGTGATCAGATCCTGTCTTCTAGTACTTCCTAGTGAATGCATAGAATGATGAGTTAGCCACATAAAAAAACATTGGTGGTGCCACAATAGCGCTCAAGACAGGTAAAAGACGTACCCCCCCAACGGCTGGAACCTAGCAAGACCATGGAAGGAGACGCATATGCTCTTAATTTTGGTCGGCTTGGTGACCTCAAGATGGAGATAACCCCGAGAGACTGCCGGCTGATTCTTGGAATGGCGATCGGGCTTTCCGTCTCCTTGCAAGTATATGACAGGCTCGAGCAGTATGAAGCTCAGTTTCAGGCCCCCTCGAATACCCACAACATGGCTCGAGGAATGGCAGCGACCGATTGGAGCTTCCAATGACTGCATCACGCACTTCTCTCGAGTAGCAAATCCTGCGACCGAATCAGACCCATTTCTACAATATCAGATATAGGCACGTTACTTCGGTTCGATGTACAGCCACCGCTGAAGTTGGTTCTAGCAGAACAGGCGACTGATAGTTCTGGACCGATCGCAGTTGGCGATGAATTAAGAGCAAAAGGTGATGTGAGAAAGCTAACTATCACAGTGGCTAATGATCCCGCTATTTATGATGTTACAAGACTTGATAGTAGGTGCGCTTGACAGCTGATGATAAGTACTAAACGGCTCTAAATCACTTCGGCCGTCGGCGCGGGATAGAAGAATGCTCATTCTAATTCACGGATCGATGACCCTCATTGGAATTGGACTATCTCTCGGTGGCAATATGTTCGAGCTCCGAGCAATGTGTTTCCCGTCCTATCTACCGGGGTTTCGAAAGGCCTGGGCCAGAATTACCCTATGGCGCAGCATAATGTGACCGGGGGCGGATCGCGCCAAGTTTAGGTACTGTGTGGTTCGTACCACTAGCTCATGATTATCTCCAAGTGTAATTATTTCAACGTAAGGGTAGATGGAGAAGTTCCCATAGCTAGCGTCATGGTAAGATAGAACCATGGGTAGAGAGCTGTCCCCTACCAGATATTCCCCGCCGGCCGGGCAATAGTATCCAGACTATTGGACGGTAAGTCGTCAGTCAATCGGGCGAATCTAACTCTCGGATATCCTTCGTAATCCGATTCATCCCAATATTAGAAAACTAGACCATAGATTAGATGATTCGAAGAGAGTAGCCTAGAGCTATCGCACCTAATTTATAGCGTTCAGCACAGGTATGGATATGAGAATGTCACTGTCTGCTCGCCAATTGAAGAGCAGACCGCACACCATGAAACATGAGGAACGGATGGGTTTCGTATTCGAATGGCCAGGCCGGGAATGGCATGGAGGCGCGGTCTCCCAAGCTATCAAACTGCACGCCCTCTGCCCTCTCAATTCGCTCAACTGGCTCTTCAAGCGCCGAATTATTTAGCACCGAGGAGCCCTAAATACCACCAAGATGGATTCATTTACGCACTGCGCGCTATGTCCAATCTGCTAGAGAGAAGAGGGAAAGAAAAGGTATAACAGACAGCAAGGTATCACGTACAGCACTGGCAGATGTCAAGCTTAAGCTTATGATAACTTGATGGGGTGGAGCACCGGAACATACTTGCAATCTTTCACTCACATCCTGCTGCCATTCAGGATGTAGTCGATTTTGGGGCAGTCTATACTATGCTCAGTACTCCAATGCCGAAGTCTAAACACATTACCTAGTGTACAAGGATGCTAAAAGGCGCTGGACGGCACCAATGTATACCTCAACCATGGTCGATCGAGCCGCTCGGGGCCTCTGGACCTCCCAATTTCGATCGTGGGCATAGATAAGGGCTAGGGATCGTGAATTAGCACCAATACAGACAAATTCGCACGAGATTCCACAAATCCTCCATACCAGTGGGCAGCGCATAGTCGGATCCTCTGTAGGGTCGTCAATGAACAGACTGATGGTGCCATTCTGTACTTATCCATTGTCAGTAGTTCGAGTGGTAGTTGCCCATCCCGGACCCTGCATTATGGTGTGGCATCATTCACTACTTCTATCTCTATTTCTAATTCCACTACGTCCGTCTGATCTGTGAATCCCACGAATTAACTCAATTATTCTTGCTCTGCTGTACCCACGAGAATCATGACCTTCACACATCTTCTATTTCGCAGATAGTCGCGAGAAGCTTAGCAGAGAAGGCTTGCAAACCCTATCACAACCTACGTGTGGTGGTCGGTCATGCCAATTGCTCCATTCACTGATAATCAACTTTCCGAACACGGCGGAGGAACAATAGTGCTGGTATACTAGGACCTTTACTAGTGTTATCGAAAATTACAGCACGCATCCAATAAAGAGAGGTATTAGCTGAGTGTAACCTGGAGTACCAGCCGAGGAATTTGAGCAAAGAGCAAGAATGCGTCTATCAAAACCTAGCAATTGATCAGGTGCTTTTGGAAAATACAAAGGAAGCCGATTATCTCTTCCTCAAAGAAGTTTTAAATCTCTACGGCGCCATGTTAGCTTTCAACGTTCGCTCCGTATCCCTCTTCAATCAAAAGGGAGTGAGATCACTACCTCTCAATCCCACTGGTGATTTTGGCATATGAAGTAAAATGCGAAAACTAGTCCTTGGTCAAGAGTTGGTCAAGAGTTGTGATATCAAACAACCATCTCTTTGTTTATCACGCTCAGCTACTACAGGGTCTGTGTCGGATGTGTTCTTGTATTCTTCACACCAAACTTAGAATATAGTCAGTGTTAGGGCAAAGGGCCCGCTGACAGAGGGGACAGGTGTTGTGACCATCGAGGAACCATCTTTCTATACACTGGCAGTGAAAGACATGACAGCACTGAAGGCAGTGTACCCTTTGTGTCTTCCTTACCATATCTAGACATATAGCGCTGGAACACTTAAAGCCTTAGCCAATTGAATCATCCTTGACAATATGGAATCCTTACCAGTCCACTGGATCAGGTTTTGCCAACAAAGGAGATTGTGCCGTTTGCCGTGATGCCCACCACACTCCGAGTTGTGTTACTGGGGCAGCATCCGTGAGATATCTTAGGCTCTTTCGCTGTGAGGAAGGGAATGAGAAGCCCTGTTGACTGCTAAGTGAGTTCCTATGCTGCATACCGCTAGCAAGGATTCTGGTTCTAAGTATAATCCTGAAGAAACCAAGGTCAGCACTCGTTAAGAGTACAATATAGCCATGGATGATATTCAGAATAAGAAAAAGACGAAACGAGGTAGATCTGGCGTACATAACCGTCATGAAAATACATGCGAGACAGTAGAGGATGATATCCAGCGGTGGTGATTGAGTTGGATTCGCCTCACCCAGCTTTGCTTCCTGGGTGAGTCCCATGGTAGATATTGTCCAGGAGAAGTCCCGCCCAGTCCAACTCTTGTCATCTCAGGTGCTGTCCGCCTTTTCAATGAAACGTGGTTTTTCAACCTGCAATCATGACGTTCAGTCGAATCCGTCGGGAAAATGCGCGTTAGAAGCGTCGCTGCATTGAAAGTTGCTACTGGAAGTTGCAAAACGGGTTTATCCTTCCGAAACTTGTTAGCGACCAACGCTGAATTGCCGGTTTACCCCGCACATCACGCCACTTTAAATCATAACCGCCCGACAACACTTAGCAACCATGGAAAACTAAATTTCGGTTCTGGCCAGCTGATCGGTATAATATGGGCCCCTGACATAAATCGTCAGGCCTGATTGCTCTTGGGTGTTTCGTAATCGCGTTTAAGGAGTCTCATGTGACAGACAGTATCACCAGAACGTAGTGTTTAAGCAGTACATCAGGTTACTTTAAGCGATGTTTGAGCAACTCTTAAGCTTTCGGAAGGTCTATGTTAATTCGACATTGGTTCAACCTACAGATCATGAGTTCAATACATGCTGCTCGCCTAGAATGTTGAGACTCAAATCAAGTCTGAGCGTTTGGAAACCCGCTGCCAAGGGCCTGCAGCAATGATTTGCAGGAGTTAGGAATTTGAAACACATAAACTAATATCTCAGTTTCGGGCCCTTCAGATGCCAACGATGTCTCAAGGTCCGCCAAGGCCGCAAAATCTAGCTTGCACATAGGAAAGCAACCCACGTACATCTTGGAATTGGTCGGCACTCTAACTGATTCCAAGATCAGTATATGTCTCGTTGAAAATCCGGAGCTCCTTCTATCAAAAAGAAATTCATCATTCTTGCAAAACCTTTCAGTCAGTATATTCTATTACTTCCTTCTCATCCTGCAGGAGTACCGCCGATAATCAGCTTTGCGAAACGGACTAGGATAATAACGGTCTCAATCTAATACTTGTAGTGCAATAATGCGAGATGCGAAAATCAGGATTTCGAGGATTCACTGAAGATATTAAAGCGATGACACCATGATTCAAATATTAAATATCAGTATATGGCCCATTGGCTTCCTACTTGGACTGCCCTTCTTGCTTACATATACCCATTATCTGGTCTTTAGGTACTTTGCAGCTCTGTGACGACGATCTTCTCACAGGTGGATCATCCTGCGTGCTGGAACGTCTGGTACGAGGTGTTCTTCATCAAGGACCGGGGATATCTTACGCTTTTAGTCCCACCGTAACTCTAGAGGGATCTTTATCCCTCTCATCCTGATGCTATAGCTGCCGGGCCTCTTCATTGCCCGCAACGTCTTCTATGCATGTTCTTTCCCTCTTCCGAGATGAGTATATGGAATTGAGCACACCAATATTCGATGAATTATGAAAGTTAACGAGAAGAATGAACTCAGCCCTTTTCCTCAGGGATTCTTTCAGATGATATGATGTCATTTCGTACTCATCCTGAATACATAATAGTGCTGTCATCAGGTTCAGGTTGGCGCTTAATAAACTAGGTGGTGTTGTTATCCTGAGCAGACTCTGGTATATTATAATTTGTCAGTCTGGCACTGTGAAGACTCTTGAGGTGTAATTCTCAACTGATTTCCCTCTTTTGAGCAATATCTGTTTGCCGACCTGTTGTTTTCTTCTTTTCCATTCCTTCGATCATTTTCCCGCGACAAGATTCAATGTCTTCGGCATGACATCTTTGCTCTATTTGGAGGTATAAATCGACTTTTTGGAGACTGTCTGCATCGAACGGCTTTTTAAACACTGCTTCTCCACATGGAGGCGTTGGATCGGTGGAAGATTGATCTGGCGTAGTTGTGTAGGAAGATTGCTCGATTATTTGTCGAGAGGCCTGGGCGCTCGCAGGCATGTAAGAGAACCGACAGTTCTCCGACATTCTTATCAAGGCTTTCTCTGACTGTTAAGCTTCAATATCCTAAAGTGGACTTCTTCAAAGTTTGCTGACTTTTCTGAAGTATTTAACGAAGGAGATTTCTTTACTGAAAAATTCGGCCTTTTTTCCCGATCCACATG